CCGGGAGCGGCCACTGCACTCCAGTCTGCGTGACAGACTGGACTCCGACTCACAAAAAAAAAAAAAGTTTATTGTAGGGATGAGGTCTAGCCAAGTTGCCCAGGCTGGTCTTGAACATGTGGGCTCAGGCAATCCTCTCACCTCAGCCTCCCAAAGTGCTGGGATTATAGGCATGAGCCACCATGCCCAGCCCCTGAGTCAGTCACAGACATGGCATCAGTAGGGCCCACCTCTCTAAAGCAGACACTCAGAACTTCTGTTGCCATGGCCTTGTTTAAGGAATCCCAGCTTCTCTACATGGAGAAGGGCACATGCAAGCCTTGCTCCCTCACAGTGGGTGAATTCCCTCTGGGGGCTCATCCTCAGTGTGGTTCTGGAAAAGACAGTCCTTTTCTTCATGATCAGCATTGTCCACAGCCAGGTCCCAAAGCTGAGGATAATCTGGGGCTGGTATCTGGAAGACACAGTCTTGCACTTCCAAGGCAGAATCTTCTGCCTTAGGAGGGGCTCTGGGTCTCTTCCAAGGCCAGAAGAACACAGTCTTGTCTCCTGGTGTCGCCTCCTTCCAGGAAGTGCTGAGTTGGGTAAACGGAAGGGCTGAGTTGGGTGAAAGCTGTTTGTGGTGCTGGCCCAGGAGCACCTGTCATTCCTGGGGGTCCTGGGATTTCCCGTGGGCTGTGGAGTGGCAGCGAAGCTGATGCTATTGACAGCACTGCCAGTCTTCTCTGCACAGTGTCTTCCTACAGGGTCCCCGAGCAGGAATGGTCCTTGGAGAGGCCAGCTGGGCTCCTTTGGACCAACTTCCCTGCCTCTGCTCTTGGTCCTCTTCAAACTCTCCCTCTGAGGGTCATTCCTCCTCAAGGACGTTGCTGCTCTGTTTGCCTTTTAATTTAATGTATCGTCTTCCTCCGACTTGAAGATGCTGACTTCATTGACAAAGCCAGGTGAGGGCATTTGAACTGGATCAAAGAGATAGCTTTCTATTGTTTTACAGCACCTGCACCCCATCTGGATTATTTTTTGTTACCATCTGTGCCGGAGATTGTTCATCAGGTTTCCCCAGAAGTTTGACTTCTTTTCCCGGGTCCAGGCCATGGAGGCAGGGAGGCAACACCCATGGTTTCCCGGCCTTGCCAGGAAATGCCAGCGGCTCAGTACAGCCAGGAGTCCACCTCAGTGCAGCCACTGGGCATATACTTTTTCTTAAACTCCATGGTGAGTACATGAGAATTTGTTGTTTCCTTATTCTTTCTGTTTTTTGTGTATGTATTTTTACTGATAGTCACAAATCTATTCACTGTTTAATAAAAACAAGTATAAAACAGCAAGGGAATGATACACATAAATTCAAGAAAGTAGCTGATGGGCACAGGAATGAGCATGGAGTAGGTAGTGAAAGCATTCAAAAACTGGAACATAAGGAAACTTCCATGTGGTATTAAATCGTGATATTAAAATGTTCTATTTCTTAAGGGATGGGTCCACAGGTTTGTTGTTCTCTTTTGCTTCAAAATTTGCATATATGTCATATATATGCTTTTGTCTATATTAGATAATTCATAAAAAATTTTTTCTTCAAAAGGCCATTGTACTCACCAGAATGCACTTCACTGTATGAACAGCACTTGCATCTTTATGGTTGGCTGCCCAGTGAAGTGGGATCTTGCCTTCAACATCAGGAATGCCAATGTTGGAATCATGCTTGATAAGCAGTTTTACATGCTCAGGGTTATTGTAGTAGGCACTCCAGTGCAGAGCTGTTTGCTGCAAAAGTGAGAGGTTCTCAAAACAATGACAACAGTAACAATAATAATAACAGTATCAACAACAACTGCCCCCCAACTTTTGTTGGGTGACAGGCACTGTTGTAAGAGTTTTATCAGGTAGCACCCCTTATCCTTGGGTTTGCTTTCCATGGCTTCAGTTCCCTATAGTCAACTGCAGTCTGAAAATAGTAAATAGAAAATTCCTGAAATAAACAATTTATATGTTTAAAAAAAATTTTTTTTTAATTGTAGAGACAAGGTCTTGTCAAGTTGTCTGGGCTGGTTGTAAACCCACGGGCTCAGGCAATCCACTCACCTCGGCCTCCCAAAGAGATTACAGGCTGAGCCACTGAGTCCAGCCCAATTCATATGTTTTAAATTGCATGCCATTCTGGATAGCATGATGAAATCTTGTGCTATCTTGCTCCATCCCACCCAGGATATGAATCCTCCTGTTGCCCAGCACATCCCAACTGTCTATGCCCTCTGGTCAGCAGTCACTCAGTAGGCTACTTGGTTATCAGGTCGACTGTTAGGATATCGGAATTGTAGTGCTTGTGTTCAGGTAACCCTTATTTGACTTAATAATGCCCCTAAAGTGCAAGAGTAGTGAGTGATACTGGCAATTCAGATATCCCAAAGAGCAGCTACAAAGTGCTTTTTTTAGATGCGTGTTCTAGATTTGCTAAGGAAAAAAATTGCATGCTGAGGTTGCTAAGATCTATGGTAAGAATGAATCTTCTATCCGTGTAATTGGGAAGAAGGAAAAAGAAATTCATGCTAGTTTTTTTTGTTGCACTCCAAACTGCAAAAGTTATAACTACAGTACATAATAAGTGCTCAGTTAACCTGGAAAGAGCACTAAATTAATGGGTGGAAGATGTGAACAGAAAGGTGTTTCTGTTGGGAGCAATTGGGTTCACTACTATATGCATTTCTATCCACAGTTTCAGGCATCCACTGGGAGTCTTGGAATGAACATATCCCCCAAGGGAGATAAGGAAGAACTACCATATATTTAATCTCATGTAGATATCATGACATCTCTGGGAGATAAGTGCTCTTTTTAATTTGCATGTGATTGATGAGGAAACTGAGTATAAAGAGAATAAGTAATCTTCTCAAGGACATAAAGGAAGTAAGTGGCTAAACTGATATTTTATTTTATTTTTGAGTCAGAGTCTCACTCTGTCTCCCATGCTGGAGTGTAGTGACACACTCATGGCCACTGCAGCCTCAACCTGCTGGGCTCAGGTGATCCTTCTGCCTCAGCCTTACAAGTAGGTGGATCTACAGACATGCCCCACCATGCCCAGCTAATTTTTTTTTCTTTTAATTGTGAAGATGAAGTCTCACCAAGTTACCCAGGCAGGTCTTGAATCTGTGGGCTCAGGCAGCTCTCTCACCTCGGCCTCCCAAAGTGCTGAGATTTAAGTTCTTAGCCCATTTAAAAAATTGGGTTGTTGTGCTTTTTTTGTTGTTGTTGTTGTCCATTTTTATTTTTATTTTTTGAATTGGAGTCTTACTTTATCGCCCAGGCTGGCAAGCAGTGGCATGCTGCTCACAGCCACTACAGCCTCAACCTGCTGGGTTCAGGCGATCCTTCCACGTCAGTCTTCCAAGTAGCTGGAATGATAGGCATGTGCCATCATGCCCAGCTAATTTTTTTTATGTATTGTAGAGATGAGGTCTTGCCATGTTGCCCAGGCTGGTCTTGAACCTGCAGCCTCAGGCAATCCTCTTGCCTCTGCCTCCCAAAGTGTTGGGATTACAGGTGTAAGCCACTGCACCTGGCCTGTTGTCCATTTTTAATGTTTGTTATAAAATAATTGATCTGTGACAGACTGGAAATTAAAAAACCAAAAAATTGACGCTTCATCACAGATAGTTTGAGAATCACTGCTCTAGGTTTTTGTTTTGCTCTCTTCTCTGTGCCTGCCTGGACTATGCAGATCTATTTTTTATCTGTCTGATTAGATAAGAAGGATATGCAGATTCTGGAAGACAGCAAGCAAGAAGTTCACAGAATATATTGAGAAATACATTATAAGGCCAAAAGACATTTGTAACTTCTTAAATGATTAATGGGTCTTTGTGGATTAATCAAAGTGCTTTTTTCAGTGAAGTATTAGCACTACAAGTGCTGAGTTAGGAATAATATTAATGCACAGTAGTTGTAAAGTTAAAGTTGATCTCAGAACTATGAGGTAGCTACTAAGCAAAACCTGAAGACTACATAAAGAAGATTATGTGTGTGAATGGATTACAAAGTATAAACCCAGGGGATTTAATCATAAGAGTTTTAATTATATGGGAGTATTGGTGTTAGCAAGACACTATGACTAAGTGCATGATGGAAAAGAAGAGGATTATTACAATTGTCTAACTAAAGACTACATTTTTTCCCTGTAAAGAATAATCAGGTCAGGTGAGGTAGCTCATGGCTGAGGTAGAAAGAAGGATCACTTGAGGCCAGGAGTTCGAGATCAGCCTGGGCAACATAGCAAGATTTTGTCTCTACAAAAAAAATTTAAAAAACTAGCCAGGCATGATGGTGCATCTGTAGTTCTAGCTCCTTGGGAGGATGAGGCAGAAGGATTGTTTGAGCCCAGGAATTCCAGACTGCAGTGAGTTACGATCACACCACTGCATGCCAGCCTGGGTTAACAGAGCAAGACTCCAACTCTAAAGGAATGATCAGATCCAAAAATCAATCTCCCATACTACTCCGCAAATCCCCCTACTGGGAATATGCCCAGAGGAACTCAAATTACTCTATGAAAAAGATACCCGCACACATGTTTATTGCAGCATTATTTACAATAGCAAAAACATGGAACCAACCGTGCTGGCCATCAAAAGAGGACTGGATAAAAAAAATGTGGTACATATACACGATGGAATATTACATAGCCATAAGAAAGGACAAAGTTATGAACTTCGTAGCAACTTGGATGTACTTAGAGGCTATAATACTGAGTGATCTATCACAGAAACAAAGAACCGAGTATCACATGTTCTCACTCATAAGCAGATCTTGAACAACTATCGTAATACTATAAGAAAAGGATTGGCAGTAGTGGAAACTGCCAGGGGAGGGTGGGGGCAGAAGTGGCAGTAGTGGGAAACTGCAGAGGGGCACACCTCATCATCAAGGGCACCTGCATAATGAACATCTGTATACCTAACCCTGAATTGTACCTCACATATTTAAAATAAAAATTTATGGAAAAAAAAAGCATGATCAGAGCATCAGCCAAAACAATTAAGTGTGTGCAATATGTTAAAATTCAAAAGAAGGAAAGATAATGAATCCTCGTAACACATGTCAGAGCAAATGTTAGACCCAAAATCAAACTAATAATTATTTTATACTTAACATTTATTGAGAGCATATTACGCACTGGGTATTGTGCTAAGCAATTTACATGTATTATCTCATTTTATCTTCAGTATTCACATGTGAGAAAACTGAGGCATAAAGGAGGTAATCAATTTGTCCAAGGACACAGAACAAGTAAGCGGTGGCTTTTTGGTTGAAACCCAAGAGGTCTAGGGAGCAAAGCTCAGGCCATCAACCACTATGTACTTAGTACATTGCCCTGGGCATTTGGTCACCATGAGTCTAATCATCTATAGCAACTATTACAACTGTTTGTCAAATATTGGGTTTTGGACTTAGGTCCGGATTTTATTTTTTATTTTTTGAGTAAGAGTCTCATTCTGTCACCCAGGCTGGTGAGCAGTGGTATGATCACGGCGGCTTTAACCTTCTGGGCTCAGGAAGCTGGGACTACAGGCTTACACCACTACACCAGGATTTTTTTTAATTTTTTTTATTTTTGTAGATATGAGGTCTCGCTATGCTGCCAGACTGGTCTCGGACTCCTGGGTTCAAGCAATCTTCTCGTCTTGGCCTCCCAAAGTGCTGGGATTACAGGCATGAGCCAATGCGCCCGGCCATAGGCTTGAATTTTAATTCTAGATCTGCTACTTACAACTTGGACAAAAAGTGTAATCTTCCCAAACTTCAGTTTTTTCATCTGTAAAAAGAAGATCGTATTATCTACCTCACATGATTGCTAGGAGGATCAAATGACAGAATTAGAGTGAAATACTTTTCTGCAGTATATGGAGACTTAGAATTGTTCTACCATGTGTAGGTAATTTAAGCCTTCTTCCTTGAGGTGTCACATCATAAAAGGAGGTATTTGCTTTTTGCTCTGATTTGTCTTCAATTTGGACAGTTCATTACCTTGTTTTTATCTTGTGTATCCACTTCTCCTGGTGCCATAAACTTCAGCAGAAGCGCCAAACACTTAGGGCTCTTGTGCCGGGTAGTCAAATGCAAAGGAGTCATCTCTTCCAGGTCCTTTTGCATCCAATTTGCTCTGCGTGTAAGTAAGAGTTTCATGAAACGATAATTTCCCTAAATAAAAAACAAGAGATGATCAGAAGAAATTTACTTTGGGGCCAATTTTTAAATGTTAATTAAAAATGTTTAAAGTATTTAAATTATTCTCCTAGAGTAATAACATTTAGAGAAGTTGATAAAAGAAAAACTACCTATAATTCCACTCCATTAAGACATGAATTATTTTATTTTTTCATGTTTCCTTTTAACCACTTTCTACATGAATTTAATTTATATAGTGGCTGGTCAATATTTTAATGGGTTATGGCAATGTTTTATTTAACCAGTCTATTATTGTTAGATATGTAGAATGCTTCCTATATTTTCTTTAACAGAAAGATGCTTCGATGTACATATTTTTCCACATAGTTTATTTTTCATAAGAATAAATTATCAGGAACAAAATTGCTGGGTCAAAGAAGTTTGTATATTTTATGGTGTTTGGTGTATTTTCCAGATTGCTATCTAGATGTGTGGGTGTACTAGTTTCAGCACATTCTGAACAATAGAGTATCTATTATTTATATTAAAAGTGTAAGAACCTTGTGAAATAAGCAGAGATGTTAAACCCCAATTTACAGGTGACGGAACTGAGATTCAAAAGTGTTGTTTTGCTCACGGTCTTCTGGTTAATAAGGAGGGGATGATTAGTTTTCTTGAAGAGAGTTATTTATGGGAACAGCTAAGGTAGAAGCAGCTTATTCAAAGTTTGGATCCCAGATTCATATGGCCACCTTCATATGGTCACCTAAACGCCAAACTAGAAGTCATTGTAGGCACATTTACCAGCAGGCAATATTTTCCATGTCAGTTTAATTCTCCAATCTGGTATAATCAACCCACCTGAGGCTATAAGGGCTAGAGCAATACAGTGTTGAGGGTACAGGCCAACCATTACATAGGAAGTCTGTGTAGTACGGGAGATTTGAAATAAAGCAAAACTCTAAAAACTGTTCTTTTGCTCTTTTCTGAGATCTAATTTCTCACTTCCAATTCTGATTGAAGACTTCCATATGCCTAGTACCATGGAAATTTCAAGGTCAACATGACCAAACAGTATTGCATGATAAAGTTCTCTGCCTACTTCATGTCTATTTATCTCTCCCTATTCAGAGCATAATGGCAGGCAGGGTATCTGTCCTTTTCATCTTCTGAGACCTTCCACATTCTTAACCTTGTTAGAAGTGGGCCTTTCAGCATTACAATGTATTGATGTTCTACTACAAGGAGCTATCAGTGTTAGTAAGGAAGACATCTATTAATTGAGCAGACCAACCATTATGAAGAAAGTGAGGCTCTAAGGCAAAGGGACTACCTAAAGCAACAATGAAGTGCAGAAGGATGGAGGAGTCTTGCCTGCTTGCCCACAGGGGCAGAGACACCAGTGGGAGCAGATGTAAGAATAGATAAGACCAAGGCTAGGAAAGAGGGTCCTTAGACTATCTATATTTGACTGGAACTTGGAATGGACTGAAAAGCAAACTGAGTCAGCTGAATTATTTCCTCTCAGAGAGGCTTTCTTTGAGGACCCTAAGTAGAACATATCTTGTTATTCTTTACTCTAGTACCTTTCATTTCCTTCTCAGTACTTTTCTCAGTTTGTAGTAACATATATTTATTTGTTTCCCTTCCTGTGATCTCCCTCATAAACTGTAAGCTCCATGAAGACAGACTATGTTTTATGGACCACTGTGCTCAGCATAGTTCCTA